TGAACTAGGCAGCCACAGGCATGCAGAGAACATGCGTGGATTTCTCTGGCACGTGAAAAACACATGCTGAAGGGTTAGAGTAATTCTTGGGTGGAGACAGGAGAAGTTAGCAGATAAATGACTGAAAGCTGAATCCAGGGTTACTGTTCCTGCTGCCTGGAACCTGATGGTTTATTTGTGATTCTGTTTTACACAGCCCGCAGTCCATTGAAAGGTTAATTAAAATAGACATGACTGCAAAAGTATTTAAGGGCAGTAACAGGAAAAAGTCTGTGTAATTGTAAATAATAGCACATGTACAATAGATGAGAGTGAGGCATATCACTGATGTGTGTTCTCATTCCTGTAACTCCCCCTTTCCTGTAACAATCTTAGCTCTTCCAACATATTCCCTGTGATGGAGCAAAGGAATCCAAACACATACAGATTGGCTAAGGGGCTCTCTCCAAAGCATGAATATAGTGGAAAACTGTTCACTGAGAAAACATAAACATCTGAGCTTCTTCAGTTTTCTGAGGAAAGCTCAGGTTTACCCAGGAGCAGCATTTCGCTTCCCATCTCTCTCTAGTGTCTTACAGACACTGCCTATCCATGGTTAACCAAGAAATATATTTATTCATCACACAATAGGCTTGATGTTTCTCCTGAAGACTAACATGGTAAGACTTGGTTCCCACATCCTTGATCCTACAGATAGGGTGTGCAAGGAGGAAGTGCTAAACAAAATCTGCATTCTGTTTTACGTGAAATCTGAGGAAGAGAAAGCAGAAAAATAAACAAAACAAACAAACCACAAAATAGAACAAAGAAGAAAAAAAAGCAATAGGATGGGCTGAGAATACTCCACAGATTCCCAAAGGTATTTGGTTCCTGTTTCAGCATGAATAGCATTTAGATACTTTCACTGAACTGAACTATAGTGACCTCTGCGATTCTCTGCAGCAATAGCATTTCACAGTGCTTAGCTAGCTTCCCGCTATGCACCTTATAAAGAACCAAAACACACAAGACCAAGATTAGGATCAGAGTCTTCCTCTTGTAAAATCTTGGATGACTGCATAGATACCCATTGAAAAACAGAACAACACTGAATGAGAGAAAGACCAAAGAATACTACATTCATGTCTAGTCAGCTTAAAACATCAACAAAACAGGCACAGGTTCCTACAGCTGACTGTAGGGTTGACTAGAGTGTAGAGTAGCCTTTATATGTTTGGTTCAAGGTCCCTTTCAAACCAAATTATTCTGTCTAATTTTATGGATCTGAATGCTACAAGTTGGAGGACTAAGAAAAGATTTTGATACAACTAACTTAGTTAAGAGCACATGAGACATCAAGGGAGGAGCATGTTAGCAGAACCAGGGGAAAGCTGGCAGGAAGAGCTGGCAGTATGGTAGTGGAAGCATATGGTATACAAGCAAAAACTCTATTATGATTCAGAGAAAGTACTGTTAGTATGCTCATGTTTCTAAAGGAGGAGTTCTGCCAAAACCAGCACAAAACAGAGCAGTTAACACAAATGGGATTTAAGTGATTAAATTATATTGAAAGTCGTTGTCTCTCAGCTGTGATGTGAGCACCCAGAAAGTGTTTATTTCTACTCCATTACAATAGGAATGAAAAAGACTAATATAAACTGCTATTTCACGTACCTATGAAATCAGCAGGAAATCTATGGTGCAAAGGTGACAGGGAGGAATGGGGAGAAGGAAAGTCTTATATATAGAGAGGGAGAGATAGATAGATAGATAGATAGATAGATAGATAGATAATCAGAGCTGGATGTCACTTGCTGGTAATTCTTAAACCAGTACTCCAACTGTTAAGAAACAACACAAACCCAGAATACATTAGGGTCATATTTATCCCACCTAACTTCACTCACCATGTCTGGAATAGTTACATGCAAATACTGCTTTTGTAGACAATTAGAGACAGACATGCATCTCCTGAGGATGACATCACCCACCATGAAAACAGTTGTCGGGGATACAGACGTATCTAAGATGAGGTTCTTAAAGTCACTGAATGCCCTGATTTATTCTTCAAAAGTGACAGTGACCTGCCAGCCCATATTAGAGTTTTGAACTCCTCAAGCTAGCTGTTGCTGTCCTCTCCAAGGGCTGTGTGACCCAGCCTCTCCCCATGATGTATTGGAGGCTCGAGAAACTAACTCAAAGCCTGTGGCTTTCTGTGCAAAGGTTAAACACTGACACAACTACACATCCATACCTACAATATCTGTCTGGACCTGCTTTCTCTCAGCAAAGAGCGCATGCGTTAAACACGAGATGTGGAGGGGAGGAGAAGGGGCAGTTCTCATGGCTCACGTATCATACCTGCAGCCAAGGGCATGGGAAGCATCATGGTAAAGTTAGCCATCTTTATCCAGAATTCAGACTTTACAGTTCCATAATAATATCCCATAATTTTATTTAACAAGTATTTCATTTAATTCCATAAAATTCCATGATCATACAATCTAATTGTCTGTGGATGTATCACAAACTGCAAATTATCATTTTACTCCAGAATGCTTTGAAAGCAGCCAGTGATGAGTGAGCCATAGAAGGAGGCAGTCAAGCCCCAGGACATGTATCATTAGCATTCAGCTTAACCAGAGCTGAGAAACAGTAATAGGAACATACTTTGGACACTTGCTAGCTATCTTTTCAGTATGACTTACCATCAAGAAAACAGAAAGGCTATAAAACTGATCATCTTGCACTTAGCTTTTGCCATAGCACAGAGGCAATGCACACTAGTGTTAGGGTACATGCAAAATGAGCCTTATACCAATATTAGAACACGGGAGTTCACCAAACTTCTGCAGATAGGGTTGTAGGACTCCAGCCCACAAAACTCCTCCAAAACACAGACTTCACTGAACGTAAGCTAGCTACAGAGAACAACAGTCTAGGAGGCCACAGCAAATGAGAACTACAGAGGGGAAAAACCTACCACAGGGCAATATTTTTCATCCCACCTTAAGAGTGGTGGAAAACTGAAGAAGCAACAGGCTTTCTAAGGACACCTCAAGGATGACGGGATGAGAAAATTTGGCTGTTCAGCCTGGCGAAGGGAAGGCTGCATGGAGACCTCATAGCAGCCTTCCAGTATCTGAAGGGGGCTTATAAGGGTGCTGAGAAGGGACTCTTCATTAGGGACTGTAGTGACAGGACAAGGGGTAACGGGTTAAAACTTAAACAGGGGAAGTTTAGATTGGATATAAGGAGGAGGTTCTTTACTGTAAGGGTGGTGAGGCACTGGAGTGGGTTGCCCAAGGAAGCTGTGAATGCTCCGTACCTGGCAGTGTTCAAGGCCAGGTTGGACAGAGCCTTGGGTGATATGGTTTAGTGTGAGGAGTCCCTGCCAGTGGCAGGGGCGTTGGAACTTGATGATCTTAAGGTCCTTTCCAACCCTAACTATTCTGTGATTCTATGATGAATCTATAACCCACAAAGCTTCTGTTGGAGAGATTTTTTCTTAGCTGGCTCATGCTCAATACAGCTGGTGACCCTTCTGCTCAAAGCTGTAGACAGTGACTGTATACATACGTGTACATACCGTATCAACATGTAAATACCATATCAGTGAGAAGAAGTGGGGGAGCATCTTTTCTCTTAAAGCAGAGACACCTTCTCTCTAGCATCAATGGCAAAGTTGCTATCTTGCATCTCAAACCTGGCAAGTACCAAAAAGTTAGAACATCTCATTTAAGGAGTGATTTCAGGTAGTGCTCAGCAAAACCCAAGGCTGCTATGCTGCTTAGGCATAAACTAAAGACAGAATTCCCAGTAGTGCTGCTGAGATCGGTATGGTTACTTCCCTGTGAGGCATCAGGCGTGTCCTTTAGGGGCTTCGGTTGAAGCTCTCACTTCCATTTTGTTGCAACTTTATTAGGGTTGCAAGCGTGTTTAGCAGGCATTCAAGTAAAGCAGCAAGTACCTTACACCTGCTTAATGTTTACCTTTGCCACTGCTTTTTTCTAGGTTGCATGGTATATGTAAGATGAGAGAATCAAACTAAAAGGAACAAAGAATATGCATGTATATACAAGTGAACCAAACAGCATCTTCTCTACCTGCAGATTGTTCCTGGGGTTACAGACCAGCTATTACAGCCTAGGAGTCAAGTATTATAGCTCAGTTCTTAGCTCAATCTTAATTTGCCTGAGGAAACTTACAGAACTAACTTCCATATGCTGTGTTTCCCCATGCAAAGCAATTAACACTGATGTTATCAAGAATTCGGAAAACTGGAATTAACCAGCTGAGGTGAGAACTGGAGGTTAAGATCAGGGGAAACTTCAGACTTGCATGAAGGACACCTGCTCGAGGCTCTGCCCTGACAGCTACCTGCATTACTTTCTCAGGCATCAGGCAGCTTGGTGCTTACCCATGACACCAGGCCTGGCTGGGTCTCCATGGGCTTTTTCGACCAGGCTCCAGAGCGTAAAGCATGAGAGGACATTTCTGCTCAGAGGCCCTGGACAATGATGCTGGCACAGGTGCTGCTTCATGTGTGGTCTGGAGGTCCACAGATTGCTTGGAAAATATTTGCAGCAATGTTGTCCAGTAACTCAAACCACTTTACTGCAACATAGAAAGGACACCTAAACCTGGGTAATAGGACTAGCACAGACAAACAAAAGGACAATTTTGATAGAGGTACAATTGGAACAAGTTGACAGACCTGTTATCAACACCATCTTTGCTCAGCAGTGCAATGAACTGTTTTCTTCATTCTTATAAATTGTGCCTCTTTGTCTGGTTACTTTCATAGGCTCCATTGTTTATACTAGAAAGACCATGCCACAAAACAAACAGACAAAAAAGTCCCAACAAAACAAAAAAACTTAAGAAACTCTCATTCTTCTTTGAAACCACATATTTTAGTTATGTCTGACTGGCAGGAGGGCTAATGGATCTGGCTCAGTATGTAAATGTGTGTTCGCTCTTCCTTTTTCCAGCAGTGATATCAGCTTTGGCCATACCAAATGATGAAGAAAAAAGAAGAGTTTTGACAAACTCCACCACACATAGGAAACAGGAGTGATAGAATAGCAAAGCAAAACATTAAAGTGACCATCTATAGCCACTATGGAAAAAGCCAAGGAGATTTTGTTTCCACCATCCTTTAGCTCAGAGTTCCCCTTTTAAGTGGTACATTGTCAAGGGGGTAGCTCTGAAAGTTACACTGTGCCTCTGCAGTGCAGCTCAGCTACAGCTCTTGAATGGAGGTGTGAAGGGACAGGAACATTTGGTAGTTTCCACTACAGAACAAGAGCTCTCACTTTTTGCAGCTTGAAATAAACCCTACCTGCAACACAGAAGCAAGTGCGACCACAGCAGGGTTTGCGCAGGAAAACCTTCACAGGGGGCCTAGTGAAGGATGGGTGGGGGAAAGGAGGTGGTTCTCTGTCACCAGAAAAAGTACTGACACTCAATTTTTTCCACTTAAAGTCAGCCCCACCATGACGCCCCAAAAGTGAACACAGGAACTGACCACTGAATGACAACATATAAACTCTGTGAAAGAGGGCTGACAGTAGCCGCTTTCTTCCCTGCTGTGACAAAGAAGCCACCAGCAATGAAACTCCACACTGCAGCTATCCTCCTCATCTTCTGGCTTGCCATGTTCACTGTGCATGAGGTGAAAGGTAAGTTTACAACCCAGCAAGAAGGTCGGAGTTGCTCCATATTGCACCAGTGGTCTGATGAGCAGGATTCATTCACAGAGCTGATTCATAAGACAAAATGCACAAGAAATCCAGGTTAGAACCACAGGAAAGGCAACTTCATGGGAAATTTAGTCTATGTCCTGCCAATTAGAGGTTTGCTTCTGCTTTAATACAAGGAGAGTTTCTGTGCTTAGAACACTTAAAGGGTTTCTGTGCATTATTTTCTCTCTGAAAATAATGAAATCTTGAAGACACAATGTCTTTTAATCTCTCTGGTGCCATATAAGCAATGAGGTCTACAGGTTAATAACATTTTATGCAAAATATTTCTTGAATAAGATGTATTTTTTTTTCTTTTTCCTGATATGCTACTTTTATATGGATTTTTATTATATTATTTTTTCTTGGTCTTTCTCTAGCTATATAGGCTTAATCCCTCTAATGTCCCTGTTTAAAAAGTTCTTCCACATATTGCCTACTTGCTTGTTTCTAACCAAATATTTTAGTTCAGACAGGCAAACTATGAACAAAAACTGCAAAGGAGAGCAATGGATTTGTACAAGGTCTTTTCTGTCTTCCTGATTTCATACAATTTATCATCTTGTTTGAGATCATTTATGAGCATAGAGATGAGCCATGTTTACTAGCCATGCTTTATATAACTTTGTCTAAAATGATGGTTAGGCCTGTGACTTCTGAGTTAGGTTATGTGCATCATGTGAAAATATACACACATAAGCACATCTTCTGATGCACAATCAGATTCAAGAACACATAAAACACAAACAAAAATCACACAAAATACTCACATGCAAGCTATATGCAAACCCAAAAAAGTATGCAAAGAGAAGCACACAGAAAAGGCATCTTCACAAAACCACACCAAAACCAAACTGAGACCTGCTAAGCATTCTCAAGATACGTAGCTACGCAGTGAGTAGGTTGACCTAGTACCCTTACAGCTACATCATACTACATTCTTATATGGTGATGAACACTACTGCTGTTCATCGCAGCAACACATGGCTTTGATCACAGACTGCCAGTCTGTAATGTCATTCTTCAGGTTGCATAATTTGCCACAAATATCAGCAAGTCTGAAAAAGCACATTGACGGGGTGTGCAAGGAATAGAAGATTAGAAAGAAGAATGATAAAAAAAACAAACAAAACAAAACATACAAAACCCAAAACAAACCACCAGAAAAAAGGGACCTTATAGGTGTGGAGCAGTTTTGTTTTGTTTTCAGGCTTACAGGTGCTCTGCTGGTATTACCTGGATGTATTCCCTGCAGATATTTTAGTAGTAGAAAGAATATTACTAGCACTGCTAAGGATTGCTTGACTATCTTTGAGCTCTTTAACAGCACATTTTGAAAACCATTCTGAGGCAGTAAAGTACATATTGGTAATGAATCACCAAAAAAAAAAATACATTGTGTTGCTTGTGACCAAAGCAAGATCAGAAGAGATATTCCTTCAGGCAAACAAAATCCCAAGGATTAGCAACTCTGCTGGTACCCCTGCACGGGCTATGCTACAGCTTCTCCGAAGGCCGATGTATGTTTGTCAGCTACTCCAATTCTTTCAAACAAAAAAAAAAAGGCTCACAGATAATGAGATTATGTGAAGCAGGTTTGATATTTAGCAAGTGTTACCTCAACAGATCTTGGACATCTTGATCTAAAGCCAGTTTCTCTACAAATTCTTTAAAAAGAAACCTGAGAATACTGTGGTGTTCTGTTTGTCCCCCTATGCTTTCTCAAATGTGTCTTTGATGGGTGGGAGGAAACCAGAAACTAGCAAGTGAGGCTTCCAGTTACATATACATATAGCTCATCTCACTTAAATGAGCTCCCATTTTTAGTTATCATCATGTAAGGTAACAACTGCTTAAGGTAACAACTGCCCAGAGATTTCGACACTGGTATCATGATCTGCTTTATTAATCACCAGTGCATTTCCCTGAAGTGCAGGAAAATCTTAGAGGAAAGAGATAACTAAGTAACACATCATTATGAAACCAGGCTTATAGCAAGAGTATGTAAGCACTCAGTCTTTTGACGGATATACCTCCCTTTCAACAAACTTTAGTTTTGGATGTCTAGTGTGAGACAAGTTTTGGATGAGACAAGTAGCCTTGCTTTCCTTCAGTTGGAAAGTAAGAGGAATTATTGATTTATTTTCAGATGGCATTTGGAAATCCACCCAGGAAAGGTGCCAATTCTAAGCACTGCTCCATAAGGACACTTACTTGCAGATGATACAGATCTGATTATGAATGATGCCAAACACTTTTTCTGCTATGGAAGCAGTGAGTCCCTAGGGGCAGAATGATGATACAATTGTTCAGGACAACAGTTGAAGGTTAGTATCTTAAGTGAAATAACAGTAACACTTCAGAAATGATAGGATGCCTGCCAAAAAATACCTTGAGGTCTCCTGTATAACTGGGTTTCATGGCTGTACATCATGAGACACTCATGTTCTAACCACAACTGGAAATCTGCTGAAATTTATAATTTACTGAGTAACTATGGCTAAATATCAATACAGTATTGACTACTTTTGCCATTTATCTATTTTTCCCCTTCCAGGGAGTGCTGGAAGCCAGCCCATGCGCAGATTCAGCTGTGTACATCTGTCTACAAGGCAACTGAACATCCGAAATCTTGTCAGCTATGAAAAACAACAAGTTCCGGTAAACGCCACCGTGTAAGTATCCAGTGCACAGTTCACCTTCAGACTTGTCTAAGCAAACACAATACCAGGGAGAACGGAAAGGGCATCTGACGATACTTCATGGCCCAATTCACTAAATCTGCCTAGTTTAGATCACCTTTCCATGAGGCAGTCACCTAACAGCTGAGGGAGTGAGGGGAGAGGAATGGGCCTCTGAGAGGTGGGAGATGTTTGCTGCTCACGAACACTGGCAGAAATCTCAGTGAACAAAGAGACAGATATTTTGTGATCGGAAACTGGGGGAAAATCCCAGTGAGGGTTCAGGGTGGAGCAGTCAGAAGCCCAGTTGCACTGATTTGAGCTAAGGAGAAAGATCAGTTGGGGTAACTCTGACTCCTGCTAGGAGATGTATTTGGTTTTTGATCTCTTGAGCATGAATTTTTATCAAATCTAGGGTCTGCTTCTGGAAGCTAAATGTGACGTAAATGTGCATCATGATTTCATATAATCTCAAAATACCAGAACAACATGCTCCCTTTTTTAGAGTCAATAAATATGGACATGACAATAAATAGGGAACTAATGTTGCTAACTGTTGTTATTTCAACTAAAAACTACAAACTCCAGTATGTAATAGGGGTTTACCACATTGTTCCTCATGCTCTACATAAAAAACAAGAACAGCAAACCTGGGTTTGGAGACTGGAATTTAATGGCCACCTGGTTTGTTTTCTTTCTTCCCATAGGTTTATAACCACAAAAGGTATCAAGATCTGTGTAAACTCTAATCAGAAATGGGTGCAGACCGCTATGAAGAAAATAGACCAAAGACGTGCCATCAAAGGCAAATAATCCTGTCCCAGGCAAGCATCTAAGGCCAGCTAAATGGAATCATCATCAGTGCTGCACATAACAAAGAATAAAGCCTTAGTATTTGCTTTTCATTCCTACTTATTAATTGGCAATAAAATCTCTGAAGAAACAGAAACTCATCAGAATCTCACTGTTTGAATGTCTGCTGACTTGTTTGTTTTATAGCTGGACTCTGTTACACTGTTTATCTTCTGAAATGCTTGCTACTATTTATTTACAAATGAGTGTAGATACCTTCTCATCCTTGCTGTCCTGACCAGTATAGCATTTATAGGTGAATGGCACATTGCTTCACATACTGGAGGGAAGATGACCTCCACAGAGCTGAATGAGCGTAGGCCTCCATCCTGATGGAGGTCAGAGTGTTTTGCATTGAGTGCTGGGTTTGAGAAGGTGCTAAATAATTTAATGGTTGCTCATACCTTTATAATGTACAAGTAAAGTAATCTCATGCTTCAGGCTACCACATGATCAGTGCAATAATCAGGAGATGATCATTCCATTTTTATACACAGCATTGCACTATTAGCTCAGTTGACAATGATGTATGGACACTCTCACCAAGGGATGATGTGAAGGAGTTCAGTGTAACTCTGAAAGGTTACTTCACTTTCACCCTCCTGTGAAACAAATCTGAAATAATTGTTTTACTTTCTTCTTTGCTTTTCTCTGAATAAGCAAGAACAAACCATGTCTAGAATCTGTATTTCACAAAATCATAGTAACTCTCTGCCCTAGAGATCTATGTATATGTAAATGCCTTATATTTTTAAAATTGATAAATTCTACTAACAGAAGGTTTTGAATTTTAATAAAGTTACTATAAACCTGGAATCAAATGGTACATTTGTCTGCTTGTATGTAATGCAGATGGAGACTGTTGAAATGGGTACCAAGATAAGAACTTTTGATCAAGCCAGCTAGAGCTGACACTACTGCCAACTCATGACTCAGATTGTTCAAAAGCAATCTGATTTTGAGCTTTCTACACAATATTACAGCAGTAAAGCCCATTTTTCAGACAATACCTCTTCAGAATTTTGGGTACTTAAAAGTTAGACTTTATACAACACAAGGATGACCCCCACATTATGAAAGCAGACAAGGAAGAGCTCTGGGCAAAGAAGAAAAAACTGGTGTTGAAGGAGCCTGGGGGGTGGAGGAGAAGTGTAGGCAGAGAAGCTTCAGGAATAAACTTCCTCTTACAGTACTGCATGTATGTAGCCTGCACTGCTACTAAACTATGGGCTTCTGACCACAAATAACCTCTTAGTGATACATACGAAACTACAGCACTGCCAAACTGCACTACAGAAATAAGATCGTGTTACTCTAAAATGCTAGTCTTTACAGTTCCCTGCTTTGGTCAAGTTTGAAGAGGGAATTTGACTCACATTTTGTGAGAGCTCACATTTTGTCACAGCTCAGTCCTGTGTAGGGAAATGCATTTAGTTTTCACTATCCAGGACAAGTTATAAATGCTCGAGCAGGGAAGATAAGGATGACTGCAAGCATTACACTGCAGAACAGAGCCAAGGCAGGCTACTGGGCCTCCATTATATGAAGTGATGATTACTTACTGAAGTTCTCAATACCAAACACACTAGAAAAGAACTAGTTGTCGTTACAAACTTTGTAGGAAGAGCTTTACAGGTGGAAAGAAATGTTGAGATATGATGTTTCTGGAGTATGGCAATATATAAACTGGGGTTCATGCATTTTGAATCACCAATCTCAAGGCCCCTGTCCCGCATAGACAACAGAAACACTTCTGTTGCCTTCAGCATCATTAGAAGGCTCCAAAACCAGGTCTCCTATAAAAGCATTTTATGGGAAGCTCTCTCAGATGAGTATCTTCAGCTTTCACTGACCAAAATCATCCAGTAACAGAATTAATGAACATGCTTTTGGCAGGCAGAATTTTAATGCCTCCCTCATGCTCGGTAGTGTCTTATCTTGGAATTAATCTTGCTGAAGTGAATACAATATTTTTTTAAATTAGGAATATCACAAGCTGAGGATATATTAATTAAACATCACATAGCAATTAATACTTTATATCTGCTCACCCTCATCACAGTTCATAGCAAGAGTAATAATAATTTTTAAAAGTGAATTGTCCTACTTAATAATTACGTCTTGTTTGTTATACATTGCAAGATCTCTAATGAACCTTGTGTACTTCTTAGGAGTTAATTACGATAGGTGATTAGAGCTCTTAACATCTCTTCCTACTCACCCATTAAACCTCAGGGCCTTCCTTGTATCTCCTTCACCATTCCTTATCCCAGGCCTTGCTGCAGTCCCAGTTGTGTGCAATTTTTGTCATCTCTAGCTGTGTATAATCTGGAAGCTTATCTGTAATGGCACTGCTTCTGCCTAGCACTTTTCCCTGAGGTTCTCAAATTGCTTAGAAAGAATGGAAAATATGATTAAACCTCCTTTTCACACACACACAGAAGGAAAACACAAAATGAAGAACTAGAGTGCTGCTCTTGTGTTGGAGGCAAGTAAGAACCATAGTCTCTGTCCCTCCAACATTCTTAGGAAACATCACACTTGGAAAAACAGAAAGTTTGGCTCCGAGTTACATTTGAAAACCTGGGGCTGTGGCTGCACTGATTTCCTCCCTGCACCCAGCTGTCCACCATTTCTTCTCCAAATGAAGCAGGAAGCAGGGGGCTTCCCTTCCTGCTCATCCTTTGCTAGATTGCAGCTTGTGATATGAACACTGATTTCCTTTTACTCCTTTTGCAAGATCTGTGCACCACTTTGCTGGAAAGGACCCTCTTAATACACACAGCAGACCACGGAGCAGCAATATTTAAAACAAATCAAATTATTTCTCTTCTGTTGCACACCACTCTCACAGTTTCCAAAGGGACTGAAAAGATGCACTGTGTTCAGATCTTTAGCATGGGGGAGACTCAGCACGAGAGCACAGTGGACAACCCCTGAGCCTGTGTAAGTATTCACAGCCACATTAACTTCAAGAAAGGCAGACAGGACAACTACACACCCCTTTCATCACCCCAGTGATGAGCTAGGACATTCCTTGATTGGGTTTTTTACATGCCTTCAGGCTATCATTTGTGCTTTGTTTTACGCTGGAGGTTCTCATCAGCTGATTACCTATTTTAACAAATTGCTTAAAACCATACATGGAAAGAAGGAAAGGGAGGAAGACTGGGTAGCTGTGTACAAATATTAATGTATCAGTGATGCTATTTTCCCAAACATTGGTACGTGACAAGTAAGGCATCTTAATTCAGCAAATACAAATGTTTTCTTCTCTCATCCCTGTGGAAAAATGCACCACATAGATTTTGGAAAGCTAAACCTTAGGTTTTTAGCTGAAAATTAATTATTACTTAATTCAAATTATTGCAGGTTACTACAGCAGATGCCAATTCAAATTTTATGGCAAGCCATTACAGGAGAAGGTGAGGGGAAAGGTGGGCATAACAAATAGGAAAGAAGCGACAGGGAATTGTTTCAGAAGAAAGTAGTGCAAGATAGTTGCCATAAAGTCCTTAATAATTCACAGTATTTCAGCAGCTCACTTGCTCCCTTTGAGTTACCATCTGTGCTTTGTGGCATGTGCACTAGGGCAAGCTCCTTACCACCTTGGGGAAACAGAAGCTTAAAAGATGTGCCATAATCCTGGAAGCCCCAAGGTATACTCTTCCACTAGCAAAGTTTTATGAATGCACAAACTGAAAACATCCAAAATCACTATGCTGAAAGTGATTGTCACTGTAATTCAGAATACACATTTTAGCTGGGCATTTGATTTGGCATGATTCATCACAGCATGATGAAACTCTATATAGTGGACTCTATGATCAGCACCACCACTGCTGCATGCCCCAGGAAGTCAACCTGTTCTCTATGTATGTCTAAGGCCCTTCCTGCAACACTACCTGACCTGTTCCAAGGGCATCCTTCTGACTCCCCCTAATGCCTATCACGATGCCTGTGCATTTCCTAACACTGAGAGCAATTTCTGTCCGCCATTTCCCACTCCATGCTATCTGCCCACAACTTGTGTTTTGGTTACGACACCTGAGAAGAGGCAGACCTGCCAGCACAACCCCTACAGAGGCTGCCCAGGAGATCTAAAAGAATATTCTGCTGTCACATCACGATTTACTGATCACCCCTTTTCACCTGACAGTTAAAGGCAACAGAAAAAGGGGAACTTGTACAACAAAGAGCTAATGGAAAGCAGAGAAGAAAACCTTTATTTCACCTCATCCTTCTTACCCTCTATCCTAGAAAACATTAAAACAACTGAATCAGGAGGTTCACACTGGCAAAACCTAGTGTTTCCGTATTTGCACAATCTGCCTGTATTTCTACGTTCCCAACAGCAAATACTTAAAAAAAAAGCAAACAACCGAAACAAACAAACAACAAAAAAAAAGAAACCCACAAACTTTTCTGCTAATAATCTCACCATTATTAGAAAAAAGATACATCAGCCCATAAAATACCCCACCTAGAAAATGGAGCAAACCTCAGACACATTTTATAGCATCTGATCTCCAGGGAGTTTGAGGAGCCTGTTGTTCGAAGCAGTAAACTACTACCCCAGAATGAGGCGGCATTTTAAATGAACCTTCTAGCTTTGGGCAGCTCATTTGAGACATTTCCAGAGCATGTGCTGGTTCCAGGTCTGCTTATAGCCTCTACTCTGTTTCTTTAAAGAGACCACAGAAAACAGAGCTGCACAGTAGTCCCTTTCCTGCAGAAGTTTTGAGTTTCCTTCCTGTCTGGCTGTGGCTTAGAACAAGAGAGTCTAGAATAAATTATTGAGTGTTCATTATGCAAAGAAAGAGGCTGCTTCTGTCACAAGACACAAGAAAAGGACTCAAGATACAAGATCATGTCCTGCACTACTACTAACTTGTTTATTTTTGTGCATTACCTGTCACTTGATTTCAGCTTATTGTTATGCATCATAATGACTATTTCTTACATTAAGCCCTTAAAAACTGAAGACAAAAAAACCCGGTATTCCCCAATGGTATAACACTGACTCACAAAAAACCCTCAAGTGATAATTGCCTAGTGCCTCTTTATGTTGTGAGAAGAAATAGCAGCCTTCCAGTATCTGAAGGTGACCTATGAGGATGCTGGGGAGGGACTCTTCATTAGGGACTTTAGGGATAGGACAAGGGGTAACGGGTTCAAACTTAAACAGGGGACGTTTGGATTGGATATAAGGAGGAAATTCTTTCCTGTTAGGGTGGTGAGGCAGTGGAATGGGTTACCCAGGGAGGTTGTGAATGCTTCATCCCTGGTAGTGTTCAAGGCCAGGTTGGACAGAGCCCTGGGTGATATGGTTTAGTGTGAGGTGTCCCTGCCCATTGCAGAGGGATTGGAACTTGATGATCTTAAGGTCCTTTCCAACCCTAACTATTCTAAGATTCTATGATTCTAAGAAAATGTCTCTGTTAGGCCTTCAACCTGTCTCCAGGATCATCCTACCCCTTTCCATAAACAAACCTGAGCAGGAATTGCCATGCTCACCTGTTGCCAATTCACCTGGTTGCTTTTCACGAAGTGCTGGCTGGCTCTAACATGAGTATCTCTCGTGAGGGAGACCCTGCCTGCTCAGAAGGACCTACTGTAATTATACCAATCAAGTTAAGCAACTAAATCAGCAACATATTGCAGATTTTCATTTCTAGATATTTATTATGCTAGAAAAAACTAGTAATATGATTACAAAAATTCCCTCTAAGGCATACGTTTTATGGGTTCAGATTTAACATTTTAAGTGAAAAATCATCCAACTGGAGAAAAATAGCTGGGGTAAAGTTCACTTCTTAAACTCAAACTGGCTGATTCCTCCCTATTGTGACTACT